AACGAACATGTAAAATCCTTTTGCGCCTGACCATTCCATGCACCCCACCACCACCTCACTCCGCTCCCTCCGCGCACCCCATCTCCTCCCTCCGCGTGCGCCGCGCTCTTAGCGCCACGTGGAACTGACCGAGGGTGAAGAGCGACCGGGTCATTGTCTCGGCCACGGCGACCGAGAATTCCAAACCCACGGACGTGGGGCGCGGGCCGCCCAGCGCGGCCGCGGCCGCAGGGTCAGTGCGGACGCGGAGTGCATCGTCTTCGCCCCAGTGGTTTGCACGGCTCGAGTGACCATATCGATTTCCAGCCCCTCTGGGTAGCCCAAGTTTTCCGTGAGGCTTTCCTGCCTCACCCTGGTTCAATGGGTCATGTTGACATGCTCATTCCCGCTAGTTCTTTGCGGGCCGCTGGCTTACTTGGTTCACTTGGTCGAATTCTACTCAATGCTTCTCCAGGGTTGGGTGTTTCATAGTGTTTTCAGTTCCCAGAATTCGTGTGTTGTTCCATTACTGAAAGCTTTGGTCGGACGAGCACGGCAGCACGTCCACCGACTGAAGACTGAACTTCACCGGCTTAGGACCACCGGCATGAAGCAGAGGATGAAAAAGGCAACGGCGAATCGCAGAGCGACAGGGACAGGGCTGGGACATAGATGGCCTTTTGCTATATGGTTAATTAATAGAGGGGATACACCCGGTCATGAACAGCCAATAGGTGTGTGATACCCGGCATTGACATCTACGTAATATTCCCAAGGGCTGGCATCATTGGATATTGGTATTGGTGGAAACTGCTGTTGCCACCCATTCTGAGCCTTTGTTCTTTCTTCGTTTTTGAGGTCCTGGGACATACTTAATTGAAGGGAAAATCGCAATCCACATTGCAGAAGAATCAAAGCGCAAGAGAACTCACTGGTGTACTGTTTCTTGAACTCAGTCAGTGAACAACTGCTAGCTGCGCCATACATCACAGACATGTGGAGAGACTCTCCGGGTTTGACGTCTGACAAACTTCATGTAGATATCAGGTACATTGGATGCCAGTTTAGACAAGCTGGGTTAAGGCATGTTAAGGCACTTTGTTTGAGTCATCCAACTTCTTGAGACAACCAGACAGTTGACTTCGTGCGTTCGAGTTGGGGAGTCATGCTTGACATAGCCAGCCCTGATACTAGTAGAATACATCAGTCAGGTGAACCCCGCTTCGCAAGATCCAATTCTTACCTATATCATGTTCAAACATGTTCAAACTGGTCTTGTTTGATCGTTCTAGTCTAGGATTTTCTCACATCCAGATCCACTGTGGTTCACAACGTTCTGGTTTCTGTTCGTCACGGTCCCGACGAGGAAGCACGAAACCGTCGGTACTGTGGTGACGCGAGGCCATTGAGAACATCTATGGGCGGAGCGACCCTGCAGCTCGGAAACAACAAAAACTCAAGCTCCAAAGGGCCCCCCAAACACTGCATGGGACTTCTACTGTAAAAACATATGTAGACATAGTTTAATAATGTTTAATATAATATATAAGTTAATAATGATACGACATGTACACACATATTGTTGTAACACTGCAACAAAATATGTTTAATGAATTGTTGGAATACATTGGCGGGTGCCAGATCAATAGATGCAGTGTTATAGCCGGTGTTTGAACCATTGTTGCGCAGACAGCATTTGCAAAAGAACCCGAAGTAGCCAAGTAGTTGAATTCATCGCTCGGCTGGGATCGGCGCAGTGCCAATGATACTAGCACAGGCAGAAGGATCTCTGGGAGGCTACCAGAGAGCTCTGTGCCAGTTAAATGAAGAATTTCCTCAAGAGAGCGTAGTAGTTAAGATTGCCTGGTGGTGGGGCGCGAAATGTGTTTGCTATTTGACAGTTGCTGTTGTTTGTTGCCTGGTTCTCATGTGAGCATCAATGTGAAGCCTCAAACACATGCAACAAAGTCAGCATCCTTTGCTTACACCTCGACTGTTTCTGTCTCAAAACATATGTTTTTTGCGGGCGAGCATATTAATATATAGTTACTTAAAACATATACATAGCATAATGGTAACCTCTTTAAGGGGTGTCCATTAACCAGCCCAGCCGGGGGCGACTCCAGAGGCTCCGTTTTCGATCTCGCAAAACGGTAGCCGGTGTGGCCATCCCTTTTGAAGCGGCATGGGTGGCATCTTCAGTGGCCCATAAGTTTGGACAGTGTTTGTTTCAACACCTCCAGTTTGAGAGAACATCCGGTGTCAACACCAACCCTTCCACTGAACTTTTGGGTTTCAGCAACTTGCATATGCCACCCAAGGACCTGCGACGTTCTGAGCATGCCTGCTCCACCAAGACCACAAGATGTATAGCCCTACACCTCCAGTCGTACCTCCGAAACGAAGGTATGACCGACCCTCCAAACTCCACCCCAACCTTCTCGGAAGGTACGACTGGAGGCCTAGGGTAGTTATATGATGTTATATTGATTGATTTCGTTGCGGAATGTAGACTTGCTTTCCTCCCAGACCCCCCGGAACGGTGACCCCCGCGCAAACCAGCGTAGGTTTTGAATACTGTTTCCTCTGGCACAAAGATCGTGTTTGCTACATGCTGTGATATGCTGTGTGTTTTCCTGGTTTACCTTAAGAAACCGTCAGAGGAAATATTGGCCGTTCTACACTGCTGCGCAGCGCGTTAGGGCGTTCTCGGGCGAGGCTGCCATGTAGCTCGTGGATCTGGTGCATCGTTCAAGCACGCCAGCGATACAAGGACAGTGTTTTTTTCAATCGTGGCAAATGAGGTGGTTTAAGTGTTTTGCACAAGTCGCGAATCAGATGTTTGGACTCTCCTCAAGAGGAAAACTCTGGAACGACTTGGTCTCACTGCTGAATTGGAACTGTGGTTTACCGGATTTTACATCCGGGATTCCAGAACCCAGATACCGCACTGGTTCGATAGTCTCATGGAAGCTGGTTTGTAATCAGGTTTGGGGACAAGCGCACAGGCAGTATGTCATACAAATGTGTTTGTGGGTTTCATCATGTATAGGTGTCATCAAAGCAAGCCAAGCAGAGTGGTTTTGAGGGTTGGCAAAGACTCACATGAACCATCATAAACCCCTAGATTTGACAGGGTTCGATGATGTCCAGACAACCATAGCTGGAGGGACGAGTGGTTGTTTGCAGGGAACCACCTGCTCCGGGGAAATCAATTCTTAAACTGTCCCAAAACCATTGAACCTCAACCCCCAACCCACAAACTGTTGATTCAATCATTAAAGCTCCAAGACTGCTGCAAGTGTATAGCCTCGTAACCTCCATCTATTGAACTGTCAAACACTGTTGAGCCAGCCGGACTGCTTTTTCTTCACTGCAGACCCTGTTGCAAGGACCAGCGAATTCCGACCGACAAGCTGAGTGGATTGCGCCTGGCAGAGCCGTTGGGATTCGTGATGACCAAAACTATTGAGGTTTCAGGTTTGATTTGGATTGTAGCCTGGTAGCCTGAGGCCCGCAGTTTGAAGTTTGGGCAACTCAGTCTAAGCACACACATCCAGGCCTCTTTTTTTATCCTATAAGGCCCTCACTACTGGGCGCCCAAGAGCGGTAGCAACTCACCAAAGAGCCGTTTGTCCTCCCAGGAAAGAACAAATGCGTCGGTACGAAGTGCCTCACCTACCACTCACTTCGTAGGGCCGCCTCTATGGCACTCCCTCCAAATGGAACTCTTGGTCTAATCCAAAACCCCTGATCTCCTTGCGAGAAACAACAAGCTATTAGTAACAAGTGCCACGCTAGTAGTAACAGGTGCCTTACTAGTAGTAACAAGAAGCTATTAGAAACAAGAAGCTACTAGTAACAGGTGCCGAGTGAGCAAGGCTTTCCTCACCACCTACTTGCACCCGGGTGGGCGCGATTTGTCTCGGACGCGACCCAACGACAGAATCTGACGGGGTGGGTGGTAGATGAGGCATGACCAGAGATTCGTTGGATGGAGACACCCAACCAACAGGTCTAGTCTATGTTCCCTTCTTCCAGGGGGTCTTTGGCAAGTCTCCCTATTTTAGGATGTTTTTATTTTAATGAACTAATTACAGTAGGCAGTGGATTGTATTTGTCATGGTGGACCATTGGTCAAGAATTCCAGGGCCCGAACTCTTGTTTCACCGACAGTCCATTGCAAAGCAAAGGACGGCCAACAAAAAGCATGTTAGGTGCAGATCTCCCAGCAACTCCTTGGGGATGATACAAGGCATAACAGAAAAGCACACAACAGGCCACAGTTCAAACATTTGAGCTATGTTGAGCGAGCTTGACAGGACATACAAGTGACTTTAAGATGTCATGAGTCATAGCAGTCAATCTGATCCCAAGGCATGCAGTCCAACACCCTGTTGAGCACCAAAAGGTAACTGCAGGTGTTGGAGGATGAGCGTGCAAAGCTTGGCCAGAGTAGCCGATCCATTGGATTTTCAAGAACCACATGAACAAGTTTGATGTCTCAGGTCAAGTGTTTGTTTAATCTTGGAGATATGAGGCTTTTTAACACTCCAAAGTCGGTTCCGGGAGATTTCAGAGTGGTGTTCTGGAGAGGCATCTGTCAGTGAAAACACTCCTTTCGCCCGTTCCATCCAGTTCCTATTAATCAAAAGGTAACTGACTCCACTTGCGGATGAACTCAACTTGGCCACAAGATAACCTGCAGCTGATACATTCTATATGCCTCATACATCATGAACATGGCACCGTCCACCCCATGCTTTACGGAAACATGCAAGCGATGTCAAAGACGGAACCTCCATGAGCCCAAGCCGAACCAGGCTCTCCTTGCTTGTAAGGCCAATGATTAACACGCTACAGCAGATAGTTGCACGTGATTAGGTGAAACGTCATATGTCCTTACATCCCAGCTCCCATTCTGCAAGCACCCAGCTTGTTTCAATACAACAAACAATCAAAGTCAGACGATGCCTTGAAGCATTTCCCAGTTCCTGTGGGCACCATGAGACGGCGATGCCATGGCCTTCGATTCCATAGAGGAGATCCCATCCTATGACTTGTTGGAGGCGCGATGGCGTTGGCGTGATGGTTGGTACGGCTGTTTTTGAGGACTCAGGGTGTGAAGGGAAGGGGTCTTGGAATGGTGCGCTTGAAATGACGGTTTTTGTGGTTGTTTTCTTTTAAGGCCTTGGGCTGGGTGGGTTTTGGGTGATTTTTTGGCGAAGTGGTTTGGAAGAAGGATTCATGTGACCTGAAGCCGAGATTGGACTGGTCAGATTGTCAGGTGATGTAAATCACAAGGAAAGAAACTACTACTCAGTGAATCTCAGTATAGGAGAATAGTGTTGGCAGAAAATATACTATATTGTGTTACACTTATATTATAGTAATTACTATATATTCCAAAGACTACCAGTTTTGCTGAAATTTATCCGTGGATCAGTCAGACCTCCCGCGTTTGGCCTGGCTAGGATGCAGATGCCTTGGATTGGCTTCCTGGTGGAGAATGGGGATCTGGCTTAGGATCGTACCCGATACCAGGTACTTGGGGACATAGTTTAGAATGGATTGTTTATACATATTTATAGTACTATAGGGTAGGTAGGAATCCTCGCTTTTCAGTTCAGTTCAACTAGTCCCTCTCCACTTCCAGTCCCTCTCCACTTCCCTCCATTTCAACACACTTCAACAGTTTGACTCCCAGTAGCTTTGATTGCTATTCACCTTTGCTTCAGGTCATGTTGAGGGTTTACTGCGCGTTCGCTTGATTTCGTTTGTGGCCGAGGGGGGGTTGCGCTGCTGATCAAAAGAAACGAACGTGAGAGATGGCGTGGAACTTTTATGCAAGAAAGAACCTTTCAAACTAATTGGGAGATGCACAGATGATTTTTGTGCAACACCCCAGCATCGACTGGGCACTACCCTCCCTCCAACGATACTCTCCTTGGCACCATCACTTGCTTCCACCAAGGCTTCGCTGCGTTTCTTCATCAGCTCGTTTGACCCAGTCGCGTGTCGCCACAGAGGTGTCCATTCCGCGCGTGGCGCTGGCCGAGGCTTTGGCTTCACTCCAAGCCCTGGAAGATCTTCAGTTTTTCGCCCGTCCAGGCCGAACGCCCGGACACCCGGATCGGCGAGACGGTGCAGGGCTGTTTTTTGAGCCTTTTTGGAGAGTGGCGGATGGGCCCTGGAAGGAAGATGCCATGTGGAGTGGTATATGAATATAGATTATTATATAGTAACATAGTAGGTTCTTATAATAGATTTAATGGATATTCAATCATGTAATTAAAAGAAGTGGTTGTTCCTGTTATCCTTCCTTTGCGAACTGGACGGTTTTTGGTATCTTTGTTTGCCCCTTGTGCCTCCACTGTTTGGCTTGTGTCTACCCGTAGTGTTTTAGGATCCGCTTTGTCATGTTACTGTAGCCTTTGCGGGTGCGAAAGGCTTGTGCACGCAGCGATTCTTCAATCATGAGCAGTCTCACCCATTTGCACCGTAGAGTCAATATGTACACATGGAAACAGATCCCTTAGTTCCTGGCTTTTAGGGTGCTTTTCTTTAGCACACAGCAAACACCGGTCTTTCTTTGGCTTGGACATGCCTGGGGTCTTCCAACGCCTTCGTTGGGGGAAGACACCCCATCTCTCGATTAGACGACCATCGGCCGCTTTCTGCGTGCGAGGACGACACAGTTTCTCCGTCTTCGAGGCCGGCGAGGTGTTACTAGTCTCCGCTGTAGTCGATATGACGTGTTTCTTTGTTGTTTTTTTGATTGGAATGTATTGGAAGTCTTAGTGTTTTGCTCTTGTGTTTTGGAGGTGAGCCAGGTGTGTTTTTTTTGTGCTCAGAATCGATAGTCTCTGTGTGGTACCACAATCCTTGCACGAGGATTGTAACCCTAGGCCTCCAAGTACCTTCTGAGAAGGTGTTTGGGGTGGGTTTGGACGGTCCAAAATACCTTCTGAGGAGGTACTTGGAGGTGTAGGGTAATAGTTTGTTTCTCTTTTTTCACTAAGTCACTAAGGCTATCAAGGCTTTGTGAGAGATCATTTAGGATTGCTCAGGGATGCTTCAAGTGTCCCAATGGGACCCCCATTTCGATCAACAAATCTCCTCTTTGGATTCTCTTTAGAATAAACAGGATCAGTCAGGATCATGTGATACCATGTGACCATGCCTTCACGGGACGGATCCGATCGCAGAACCTGGCAGCCAAGAGGGAGTGCCATGAAGCTCTCTTCGGCCTCTTGGTTCAATTCTTCAAAGGAAGATGGTTTTGTAGCTACCCTCCAAAAGGAGTCAGCATAGTGACTGACCAGCACAAGATTTTGTTGAACCAAAGAAGTAGTTCGAATGACCATTGACCGTTCCACAACTAAGCGCTCATCAACCACATGTCAGCAACAAGGCGTTTCAGCAAGCTAGATCCAAGCATTCGCCGTTTCAGCAAACAAGCAATCCTTGTAGTAGCTTCCAGCAGCTGCTTCTTCAGGATGTACATCAAGTTCATGGTTTGTTCACCAAGCATTGCCCCAAACTGCGGTGCGGAGCTGGCCATGCTGGCGTCACACCCCACCCAAAACCCACACCACCCGCCCGAATGGTGCGGCTACCCATGCTGCCACACCACACCACCCGACGCAACAAGGTCAAGGACGCTTGTTGCTTTTGGATGGCAAGTCGGAGGTGCGGGTCGCAGGGGTCACTGCCGAGTCGCCCCGGCTGGAGGACGATTTTGGGGAGCCCAAGGGAGCCCGGGAGACGACAGAGTTTGGATCCCGGGTTGGGGATCTAGACGGATCAACATGACGAACCAACCAACCAACCAACCAACCAACCAACCAACCATATTTTCTCCTCAACTCATGGCTGGTGGGCAAAATCCTGCCCTGCCTCCAATTCATGACCATCACTGTGATGTTCCACAGCAGTTCCAGTTTCTCCAACACACACACACATACACACACTTGCTGTGTTTCCCCTTCCCCACAGCAAGTACGACGCGGGGTGGGAGGGTAACTCACGAGCTGCTCTTCCGACGCGGAAAAAGCACCGCAGGAGGCCTTGGCCTTGTTGGAAGAGGCCAACAAAAGTTCTTGCGACGCGGGGTACTTGAGTTGGTTCGCCTGGGCTGCTCGGAAAAACCGGATATGCTCGGAGAAAGGGCTTTTTCCAAGGTGTGAAAAGGGTGCGAAACAACAGGGTCATCGATATGTTTTTTGGGGCAGTTTGGCACGAAGTTTGGGGGGAGAAGTTTGGGGAGAGAAGGGTATAGATTGTTTATAATTGTTTGGCAGCTTTCAGTGGAAGGTGGGAGTTGGACTGATTTCGCTGCTGTGACTTCGTAGATCATCATATATCATCATACACCAGAAGCCATTGGACTATAGGTGTACCTATAACTTGGGGTTTGTTCTTCTGCTCATGTTCGTTGGATTGGAGGTGTGTACTATAGCGTTACTAGTGCTTGAACATGAACATGACCGACCCAGGGACCCAGGGACCATCACTGACTAGGGCAAGCCGAGCTAAGCCGAGCGCCATCAAAGACTGATATTTTTTGGTTGCCTATACAGCCAGATAATAGCCACATATTGATATTTCAATAGGGAGACTTCCCCAAACCAATGGGTTGCCTGGGAGGTCTCCCTATTTTTATAGACGTCGTATGCCAGCGTATGCCATCAAACAATTCCGGTCAGATGTCTCCAAGGCCTTGTTGTTGGTCTCGAAGGATCAGAGCTTCTACCGGCGCTTCTCAACACAGCAGCGATCCAACAGCTGCTGCAAGGAGCGATCCTGACGAAGAGCCCCGGTGTGCTTTGTTTTTTCTTCCCCATCCTTGGCTGGTGGTGCTGCAGTGCTACGGGCAGTGATAGCCAGTTTTTTGGTCCTTTTTTTGTCAGTAAACTACATGTATTAATATATGTATGAATATACGTGATGATGTAGCTTCTTATTTTTGTGAAGAAGCTCCTGACTTTGTATGTACCCCCTAACCCTTTCACCACACTGCCTGAGCCTGGACCCTGGACCTGGCGCCTGGTGTGAGTGAGTGACCTTGGAGGACGCACTGGTTCTACATCCCGGCTTCTCCTTGGCTCTACGCTGCCTGGCACACCTGGAACCCGAAAGCATCCCCAACTCGGTGGGTTTGGATCCTGTGGCGCACTTGGTGGCCTGTGGCAGGCGGGGACACGAAACATGGGATACATACACATGGATACACAGACGGGTGACCGTCCCACAGGTAAACACGTCGAAACAACTCGACACAGAAACAACCCAGTGGAATTCCGACATGTTTTAAGCAAGTCCGCTCAATCAAAACATGTCAGACACCCAGGTTGTGAGACCAATGGCGTTGAGCCGAGAGGTCTATTTGTTTCCAAAGAAGGGACGCCCCACCAAGCTGCCGAGACGCTTCCGCAGCCGCCCCAGGCAGGCGCTGGACGCCTCCACGGCGCAGCAGCGGCGTCAAGGCGCCAGCGCGCTGCGGAGCTTCCTCGCCGAGGCGGCCCCGAGCGCGGTCGCCGCGTCGGTGTCGTTTGGTGCGTCAGGTCCATCTCAAGCTGCCATGGAGAGTAAATGAAGAATAATTCGACCTTGCATGACCTTGCAAACTTGGCAAAAGGGTGCAGTGATATGAGAGTGTAATAGAAAGTACAGTAATATATCAGGAATGATCGTCTCCATGACCTGGGTGAATGCCGTGAAAAAAAGAATGCTGAGTTATTGAAGGTTGGCTGAAGTAAGTCTTGTCAGCCTCAGTTGATGGTGCACGCACCAAACACTTAGAAATGATGACAGAAACCGTTTGATGCGCTGCTGCGTTGTTTTTGCCCTCGAGCCATGACTCCGCCAGAAGGTGATGATTGTTATAATACATTTGGGGAAGGTTCTTCACACTCATCGGAGTCCTTCAGCATTTGGTACTAAACCTATAGTTGAGAGATGCCGCAGACTTGTGGAGCAAAAAACAATGAACAACATCATAGTCACCCGGGGTGACCTTGGAGACACTACTCCTACCCTTTCGGGTCCAAGTGAGTGTTTTTTTTCTTTTTTAGTATGTTATTTTATGTTATTTTTCAGACGAGTTTGAAGACGTTTGCAGGTTCGTTGAACTTTGTTCAAGACGTGATGCAAGACGACCTTGGAGCTTAATTACTGTTAACTGCCATCCCATGAGTTGATGCATTGGACAATGACAAATGTTCATAAGTCTTAGTCTTTTGGCTAGATTGTTTGAACACTCCTGGTCCAACAAGTCAAGTGTTCAACCCATCGCGAGGTGCAAGTTTTGATGAACAGATGACAACAATTCGAGGTCCGCAAGCAAGACAACAGCTCTTCCAGTGGCACAGACTGGTTGGCGCTAGCTTGTTTATTTTCTTTGAGCGGCCCTTCCCAGGTCCAGAGCCCTGAAGACCTTCCCAACGTTTGTCTCTTGCTGGGCACCTTGGGCGCGACTGCCAGCAGCTCTGGATGTCCAGCGGCGACATCCAGTGGCTGGGTCTCGGCCAAGCTGATGGCCTTGGATTCTCTTTGGCGACTTGGAGAGCATTTCCGTCATTTCGGATGGTTCAGGGATCGTGGCGAAGGTTTTTTGGGACTTGAGAAGAATGGGGAGGAAGCGAAAGGTGTGTTGTTTTTTTTCCCGGAAAGGATGGATGTTGCGGGTAGACCTAGATTGCATGGGGAGATGACAAGGGGAACATGGCTGCAACGGGAAAAAACATCTAAAGACTGGCTCACATGAAGCAAAAAGAGGAAAACACACACATATTATCTTGAACATGACATGACATGGGCTCTGGCGAGAAGTGGGCTGGAGTCTTTCCAATGAATCCAGATTGGTTGGCCTCAAAATTGTACAGGAACTCTCGCCCTTGGCCCGATGAAAACCCAGTGAAACCCATGTAGCAAACATTGATTGAAGGAACCCAGTCCTTTGGGGTGACTAACATGTGTTGCATGAATACAGACTTGCTTCATTGCCCATCCAAGTGACGTTACCCATCCTCCCCCATTCCTCCCCCATGGGGATTCCGTGTAAACCGCATGCCCACGCGAGCAGCACCAGCATCCGATCATAGCGCTTCAGGCGCTATTGGACCAAGAGCAAGCGGCCCAACCGCGCAGCGGAGGCCTTTTCCGCGACGCGCTTCGCCCAGGATTCGGAGCGGCCCGTAGCGGAAGACCAACTGAAGGGGCACCGGGTTGCAACTGCGATTGAACCCAAAGCAGGCTCATGCAGCTGCTGCATGGCCACGATTAGTCATGAGGGTCGGAGATGGTCAGGACGTGACATAGTGGTGCAGGATGTGACAAGCGGGAGTGGAGCTCGCCCAGTTTAAGAGAAGAACAGATGCGTCTAAATATTTAGTCTTCCACGGAGCTAGAATCTGCCAGAATGTTCCACCAAACCACGATTGCTTGAACCTACAGGGAAGCAGCCCTTTTGGTGTCCCAAACGATGCACCACACGGCACCACATAAGATTGCAAGCAACTTTGTGCATGGGTTCAGTTTTGTCAGAATGTCTCCTGTCCACAAACTACTAAGTATGTGCCCATGTTTGGACGTTGGGGCAGGTGAATAGCTTTCTTGGGTTATCATTTCCGTTTGGTAGCAAAGGTCCCTTCCAACGAATGGTTCGATTCAAAATTTGATCAACAAAGTTTGGTTATTTGGCCCCAAATGCAACCAATGACAAGCAAAATGCAACCAATGACAACCAAAACTGCAACCAAAAAACGACTTAACAACCATAAGCATATTGAAACACCGCTGTCCTGGCCTGTCCTGCCTTTGTTGACGTCAGGCAGCCTTGGTGGCCGTAGGCGCTTTGCGCTCAGAACGTCAGGCTTGGCAGCGGGCAGTGGTCTTGGCATTGAAGGCGCGCGGAAGGGGACAGGCGACCGGGAAGACTGGCGACCGGGAAGACATGCCATTTTTGCCTTTTTTCCAGACTCAGAAAGCAGAAACCGAAGAGAGATTTTGTTTGCATGGATACTTAGATACTACAGCTGCGAAAAGATGGGTGAAAAAAGCTTGTTAAGACAGTCGGAGCAAAGCAGGGTAGGCATGGGTGCGATCGCTGGGGTTACTGGTCCACAATATAAACTGATCGAAGGCGGACATTTCCTGCTATTTTTTTGATGCAATTTTGTCAGATGAGGTCAGAGAGGTGTCAAAAAAATGGAATTGGATAAGATCCGTTCATTCCAAGATCTAAGGAACCCACACCCTGAAAGTTCCAGTCTCGTCATCTTTAGAACCCGGCTGATCGTGCATAATTTTGGTCCAGCAAGCAAACTTTGGGTCGTCGAAACAGCACATCCTCGTGCTCAGCTTTCTGACAGAGGTGTTGACGATTTTGTGTGTGCATTTCCTGCCCGTTCTTTTTTTGCTGGCAAAAGTGATAACTTCATTGAATGGTACTCTAAGTAGATCTAAGTAGCGTAAGTAGGGTGTATCCCATTACCCGTGAAAGTCGCTACCAGATGATCACTATTTTTTGTGAGGAACTGCAACCTCATCATCATCCAGGGGGGCGCTGGGAATCGGTCAACATACTCCAAATCTATATATACCAACCTTGGGGGGGGTGTCACATGTTGTCACTCAAGAAGCCAACCAAGACCCCTTGGACCCTTTGAACTTCGAACCCATGATCCGTTGGCCTTCCATTCGACCCGTTCGAATGCTTGCTTGACCTGGTTTGGTGAAGAAAAGCATCCCCCAACTCTAAGCCCAAGAAATGGCCTCCCAAATCCCACCAAAAGGCCCAACAAACTCCGGTGTTTCGTGAGAAACCGTGTAAGGCCTTGGCCTTGGACGGCCAGTGGGACGAGTGTTGGCGACTGGCTTCTGCGCCCTGGCTTCGACGGTCAGGAAGGACCTGTGCACCGTGCACTGGACGTTCGGTTCGGTGGTTCTTGGGACTTCTGGATCCAGATGTTCTTGGGTTGGCACGTACTTGGGGTGGCTAACAAAAAATGTTGCCCAAGGAAGAATCAACTGTATGTGCTGCTCGGTTCAGTAAAACTGTAAAACATCAGAATTCCACAGATGTCCTGCACTGTCTCAGAGCCCTACACTCTGCAGTCCTGTCAAACAGCTCCAACTCAGTGGTGTGGCCGGGGTCATCACCCTCTTGGTCTTGGATCTTCTCAAGACACAAAAGCAATGGACTTGCAGGCCCCCATCTGAAGGTGCTGGTCCCGCAATTGGGGCTCAGTCGGCACCACAGCCGTCGATCCCCCTGTTGGACCAAACATTCAATTGGACCCCTTGGAAAGAGGTCAACCATGATAGTGACATGGGTATGGCTCACAAACTTGGTTTCACAAAATCCGGAGTTGTGTGATCAATAATTTTGTGTCCATGGTGTATCATCGTAAACAAAGAGGCGTGATGTTTCCATGTTTCTTCCCTTTTCCTTTGTAATCCCTTCGCTCAACACCGTCAAAAGACGGACGTCCAAAGACGGAACCCAGACATGCTAAGGCTGAGCTGTCGTTTCACACGTCACGAGAGGCGCGAGCAGACAGCCGTTGACCATGCAGTTTCGCTTCATGGGTGGGATGCTGGTTGGGTTGACAGGTTGATGAGGTTGGGTGGATTGGCTGGTTGATGTTGATTAATTAGGCGATTAGGGTTCATGTGTGGGAAGGTAGGTTGGTGTTTTATACTTGGATTCCAGTGAGGGGCCAAACATGGCCAAAGGTCAGACTGGAAGCGTCGTGTGTCAATGACGGGCTCCTGGATGCTGGATGTTATTTGTCATGTCTCATTCGCGAACAGACTGTTCAGTGCACCTGTTGAAAAGAACTAGCAACATATCCGTGTAGCATCGACCTGGAACATGCGGCACGTCCCAGACACGTACTCGTAGCACGTACCCGTGAGGGATCCCTTTTTTTGATCTTTTTGTGAGATCTTGCTCAGCTCCGATCTCCAGGTTCTTTCTGGAAATTTGCTACTCCTCAGAAGTGATAAATGGGCCCATCCTGCCCCAAGGGACTTGCCTTGCAGACACCCACTCCAAAACAGCCCCCCAAGCATCCTTACAGACTGCTGGACAAAAACACGATTTGGATGGTAAAGCCTCTTCAATTTGCTGGGGTTATGTCTATATGAAACATCCTCCAACATCCTCCAGCGTCAAACCTCTGAGTCATTCGGTCACAGATCTACTTACTATTGACCACCTGTCTTCTCTTCGCCCTCCCTGAAGTGCCCGGATGAAACCGCCAGATCCTCTACCAATGTGGACGACTGGCCCATTACGATGGACGCCAAGAGGTGGTGTTAGGGCGTGGAGATGTTGCTTTGTCCTGCCCGAGAGGGATATCCGACACCTTCCGACTGGACTCTCCAAGATACTGTATCCAAGTGGGACCCACACATCACCGAAGAGGGTTGTGAGTCTCTGTGAGTTGATTCGTCGCAGCGCCATGTTGAGAGATGTTGAGAGGCCCACAAAATAGGGGGACCATCGGGGACCCGCCAAGTGGACACCAGGGATAAGCTTTGAAACCGAAAGTCGCCCAGGAAGCGTAAATCCTTTTATTATCCGTTGTTAAACTCGTATCAAAAATTAACATATCCTCCAGATCGAAGGGTCTTCCTGTTCCTTTTAGACAAGCCTTGAACATTTAGTAATACATAGTGATTCTTCGATATTCATCGCTTGTGACATGTCCATCAGACTAACAGTGACTAACAACTAAAGATGTTGAAAGAACTATCACTGTGCCATGCGGTTTGCGAGGCCTCAACGGAACTCGCGTGCCATTGGGGTTCCGGGTGCAGAGGGCGTGTGTTTCCATGCGGCGTGTCACGATCGTTTTTGGGCACGATTGGTGGTGGTTCGAGTGGGTGGGTACCAATAAGAAGGCGGTGATGATCGGTGACTTAAACACACGTGCAAGCTATATTTTTGGGGGCTTGGACATGAGTCTATTTTTGTCATTGATGTTTTTAAATAGGTGCTCGGGATATCTCGGGATCATATTGGTACTTGTTTGTGACTGCTGCGAGAGATTAGCAGCTCGCTTCGGGCTGGTTTGGGTGTGACAACCACTCGAGGCTATGAGTTCTGCCATTTTGACTGGTTTTTCACGGGAACATCCTCTCCGCAGCGGCCACAGGCTCTTCGTGTGGGTTCATGGAAAGGAGCTGCCGTAGTGCAGGGGTCACAATCTCACAAAATGTGGACGAGGCTATGGGTATATAGATGCATCCCATGAGTGGTCCCAGCCTGTGTCCGGCTCGCTTTCAAAAAACTATCAGCAAGCTGGAAGCAAGCTCTTCTGTTTAACAGGTTCTAGTGGAAGGGTCCCTTCAAAACGCTTTCACATTGTTGGTACATGGATGACAAAAATTCGGAGGCTGAGGTACTGTTGTAGGATTTGCCAGTCTCCCACCCCAAAATCCTGCAGGGTAAAATCGTTTGTCAGCTGCGTTGCCAGGCTCGACAGGCCTACCTCCCACACCTGCGAGGGATGTGGCCTTTGGTGCCTCATCAGGTCCAGCCATATGTTGGCTTCTGGGTGCGGAACCTCAGCGGAGAAGGATTGGTCCACAAACAGCAAGTCTATATTATTATATTATGCACATGATTCATATTAGCAATTAATCTAAATTAGATGCAATTATCCATATTATACACAAAAATACATACACCCCCCCCATGATATCTCTGTTTTTGCAAGCTGCGTGGCAAAGACAACTGGTTGCCACAGACGGAAAGTACTAAGAGCATATTATATTTAGTTAAATGGGTGTCCAATCAAAATCGCGGGCCTTTTAGGAGTGTTCAAGAAATAGGGTAATTGTCAATGTTCAATTTGTTAGCAAGTGTTCAAGATGTTCAAGAACATGAAGGTGTATCTTAAGGCAAGAAGGAATATTAATCATTCAAAAGATGAGTACCTAATCAAACACAGGCAGGATCTACCAGGAGTGCAAAGTAAGAGTAGAAACGACCTCTCCTCTTCCCTCCATGTGACCTCTCTGACCTATCTGACCTTTGAGTTTTGGTTGATGCATTTGTTTGTGGGTGACAAACCATCTGCAGACTGAAAAGAAAGCGTTTCACGCCTGGCCTGGCACTCCAGAGACAAGAGACCTTCATCCATCCTGCACCGACCTTTTTCGTCAGCTCACGACCTTTTTTCGTGATAGGACGGGTGTTCTGTATTTGGATCTGAGTGTTTTTTTTTTTTTTTTAAATTATGTTTTTTTTTTTTTTAAAGAAGACAAGTGTTCACAATAGAAGGTGATCAACAAAACAAAACAACTGGACCCAGCAAGACCTTACGAAGATTGAAACAGCTTCCTTTTTTAGGTGCTCAATGCTATAAGAATACATTTGAGAGAAGAGACACAACTAGGCAAGAAATATAACACTATTTTGCTAGAGAGTAGAGTAGAAAAGCCTAATAGAACTGGGAAGAGGTTGTAGGGAAGAGTATTTTGGGGAGAGGATTAAATAAGTGAACATATGGTATTGATTGATATTGTATATCATGTGTATCCGCAGCGTGCAACCAAAATAAGCATCAGTACCAAGACAATCTTGCCCAACAGTTCAAGCTAGTTTCAATCACATAGGTTTGTTATATTTTGTTGGTTTAGTTGGGCTGTCACATAGCTGGAACTGAAGCTCAGCCCTTTGTTTGCAGGCAATTGGCAAAACCATTAAAAAAAAGACAAACACAAAACGCAACAACGGACACTTGTGGAACATATGCTACTGGGTACTGTTTAAAAGCTGGGTGCAGTGCCTCAGGCAGTGGTACAGCCCCCCTGTTTGTTTTGTTGGGATCTGTTGTTTTGTTGGCCAGCCAACATTGGATCATAGCTTTTGGTTTTGGGGAAGTCTAACCTCTTTGTTGTTGGTTCTATATCCAGGTATTGCAGATGCTTATATTAAAGGCCACATGTATATAAGTCTTCTGCAGCATGTGCAAACAACAAGCATATATTGTACAATGGTACCCCTTTTATGATATCCATGAAGGGTCATTGCAAAGCTCATGAAACATGAAA